GTATTGGAGTAGAGTTGGTCAGAGCCTTGGGATGCCTCATCTTCCTTCTGAGGAGTGGCTGGTGGGTTTGAACCACTAGCCTTCTGGTTAGCAGTCAAATACCTTAGGCACTGTGCCACTAGTTTATTTGCATGGAAGAGCTGGTTTCTGCAGGAGCTGGAGGGTGTGTTTTTAATTGACAAGAGGCCAAGGGAACATGATTTCTGGGAGTTCCCCAGGGACAAAATTTCTTTTTAGAATTCCAGTGGTGAGGTAAGGGCATTTCTGTGCGCTCTTCCTCTGTAAAGTGAGCCGGCCCTCGAAATGATCAAGATCTCAGCCCTCTCTCACACATTACACAGGCTGACAAAAATTTCTCTGGTTGCCTGTGAGCTGAATTGTAGTGCCTGAGGTTTGTAGATCTTAAAACTTTCTAGAGATGTAAACAGTAACCCACTCCAAGGAAGAGAACAGAATTGTGTTCAAACTTGCTTTAAGGGTGTTTCCCCAGCCAACACACTAACACGGTTGCCTGTGTCACTGCCAAAGCCTGCCCACACACTTTCTCACTTTAGAAGATGCTTCTGCTCTCCATTAATGTGGAGTAGATACACAGCTACATAGCAGAGAGAAGACACTGATTTTGCAAACAGCTCTCAATTATCCACTTGAATGGAGGGAGGAGTCAGTAACATGGAAGATGGAAAAACATTTACTCCACCCCTTGACCCATGTTGCACTCATAAGATACACATCACAGTCCTGCTTGGGAACTAATGAGAAATGGTGACTCCCTTTAGCAGTGATTTGACCTGCTGAGACCAGTGCCCCATCCTGGACAAGATTAACTTAAACTCTTGAAGGGCTACACATGCCACCATGTTATAAAAATGGTATCAACTCATTTCTGCATTGTGTTGTTTGCACAACACACACACACACACACAAGCAAACAAACAAAAACCCCCAATATCCTCTGCTCGGTCTTTCATGATTTCTGTGCACTGTTGGGTTTTTACCTTTAGCCTGCAGGGCTGATGGGAAATGAATACCCTTTGTGTCTGCATGAGAACTCCTTAGTAAGGTTGGAATCTGCAAGAATCCTCACAACCTTTACAAACCTTTTGTGATCCAACACATTCCTGTCACAGAAAGCAGAATCCTGTTTAGCCTTGTCTGTAGGCCATTTTGTATTTTGGGTATTATTCTTTCTTTTTTAAAATCAATAAACTATTGTTTCAACTCTTCTATAGGTTTGATGTTCTCAAATTAAAGAGTTGAGGGAAATGGCGCAAGTAATACCTATTATAAGAATTTTGTAGTATATAGGGTAGAAAGTGAAGAGTTCCCATTTATCTCTTAATACTACTCCCGTCCCCTCTCCTACCACAGTTAACAATTTCTGTGAATCTTTCCAGATTAATTTCTTTGCATTTACAAACATATGTACATATATCACTGTTTAGGTCTTTTAAAAAAATTTAACAGGATCATACTATATTAATATATCTCTGGGACTTTTTTTAATCTTTATTATAATCTGGGTGAAAGTTTACAGAGATAATTCATTTTCCATACAACAGTTCATACACATTTTGTTTCATAACATTGATTGCAATCCCCACAATGTAACAGCTCTCTTCCCACTTCCTCCCTATGATTAGCTTTTCCCTGTGTCCTTCTTTCCCATGCACTGCTGCCCACTGAGCAATCTCCCTGTGCAAATACTGCCCTTCTGATCTCCCAGGATTGATCATTGTAGGGAGTATATCTACCTGGTGTAAATGTCCACCCTGTATGCCTATCTATTGCTTGGCCGGAAGCCATGGGAGTAAGTTCAAGTCCAGGCCTGAAGGGTGACTAGGAGCCATAGTCTCAGGGGTCTCCCCCGGCTCTATCAGACCAGCAAACCTGGTCTTTTTTTTTTATGATTTTGAGTTTTGTTCCACATTGTTCTCCTACTCTATTCAGGATCCCCTATACTGATCCATTTCTCAGTGGTTGACAGTGGTATCTAGTTCTGGTCTCAGGGTCATGTAGGCTGAGGTTTGTATGGTCGTCCACTAGTCCCTTGGATGAATTGTTTCCATGTGTCTTTTGTTTTCTTCATTCTTCTTTGCTCTGGTTGAGGAGAGACCAATTGTTGTATCCACATGGCTGCTTGCAAGCTTTTAAGACCCCAGTCACTACTCACCAGAGTAGAATGTAGAACAGTGTTTTTATATAGTATGTTATGCCAACTGAGCTTAATGTGGGACTTGTATTTTTAAATTAAACGATTATAGGTCTACTTTATCCTTTATAATACTCAATGTCATCGAGTCGGTCCCGACTCATAGCGGCCCCTCCTTGGGTTTCTGAGGCAGTATCACTACGGAAGTAGATTGCCCAACCTTCCTTCTGAGGAGTAGCTGATGGGTTTGAACCGCCAGCCTTCTGGTTAGCAGTCAAGTGTCTTAGGCACTATGCCACCAGATGCACGTTATTCCATGGTATGGCTGTACTTTAGCTTGTTTAACCATTCACCTAGTGATGAATGTTTCTAATTTGTGTTTTTCAACAGAACCCAACTCTCCCGGCACTGAACTGTTCTGTAGAAAATGCCCATCCAACTGTTTCTTACTATGCCCGTCCCCAAGTGGCATCCTACAATACCTACTACCATAGTCCTCCTCACCTGCCACCATATTCCGCTTATGACTTTCAGGTATGTTTTAAAAGCAGAAGAACTTTCCATCACCCTTGCTCTCTTGTTCTCTCCCTAAATTCAATTGCAAAGCCTTATCATTCTCTTCATAGTATGTATGAGGGAGCCAGGCTATCTGTCCCTGGTGGACAGCCTATGAATACCTATGACTAGCTCAAAGACTACATAGGCAGAGGATGGCTGGGGAAATGGAGAGAGTGAGAAAGGCATGAAAAGAGAAGAAACAGAGAAATGGAAGAAAAAGGAGAGAAGGAAGTAGGATGAAAGTGTCCCGTATTGCCTAGACCAACACCAAGAAGATGACTTATCTGGGAAATGGAAGCTCATTAGTACACCATCATGGACCCCTCTCCAACATCAGCTTTTGGCATTTTTATGCCACAGGGAGAGAGGCCTAATCCTACTCTCCTTAGCACAAGAGCATTCTGAACCACACAGGGGTTTCATTCAAACCTGTCATGAGGTAGAAGTCTCTTTCTTTCATTTTCTCTAGACTTCCTAACTAGGACTATGTGGAGAAAATATGTTTTTTTATAACAACCCCTCCTTTTTGTCCTATTATAACATAGGTCAGAAATAGTGTTAACCAAATTTATACATTCCCCATTTCCTTTTGAACTGAGATTAAGTGCAGAAAAACAACCCAAAAAGGCACTTAATTAAATGAGATTAATCATGCACAGAGCACTAAACTAGGCACTTTGGGAAAACAAATAAAATGGTCCTTTAAGTGTTTATTGTGATTATAAGCCCTTGACCACAAAAGAGTGGCATCACACTGAAATCTGGTTAATTCAAATTACAGGAACCAAAGGAAATACCTTTGAAAGAAGGGAAACTCATAGCAAGTTTGCTTCTGTTGACTAAGAGGTCATGGATGCTCCAAGGGGAAAGAAAAACATGCCTATTTGGGGTATTTCCAATGAACCAGTCACATTAGGGACACAAAACTCTTGGGAAACCTATTTTCACCTTCATATTAGCAAAATAATTGAAACTGGAAAACCCTATTTAGTTGAATAAAGTGTAGTTTTGCTTTGATTTAGATATTGTTTGGGGAGGTCTCGGGCTCTCTATTGCACCACATAGTGTGAACATGACTTATTACCTATTAATAGAAAAAGGAGGTGTCCATTAAAGCTTCAAAAAAAATAATGTTACAACTTGCTTGGAAGTCTACTGTATAAACAGGTAGATGACTCAGGGAACTTGTGACACATATAGGTGGTATAGCCTGGAAAACACAAATATGTTCAAGAAGGGTGTAGATAATTTCAGGAGTGACAGAGGCACTAAGAAGTCCTTTAAGAGACTGTGGGGATGTTGATGCTAACGCAAGGAGGATCACCATTCTCTTGGGGCCCCTATAATAAAAAGTCATTCTGGGATAGAGGCACTACACATGGGTCCAGCCCAAGAGGCCTCCTCCACTCTTATGTTGAGGTGAACTATATTAATTTTAGGATTTTTTACTTTATCATGAACCCTTTAAGTAGCAACACTACTCTCCCTGATGATGATTGCTGCAAACTCTAAAATAGGAAGCCCCTCTTATAGGAGCCATCTCTCTATCCATTATTCTCATTCAAACTCTACTTCAAGGATGAAAACAATATTGACAATGCCAACCATGACTAAGGGTGTTGGTTTCAGTTCAACCGTTATTTACTCTGTGTTCCCATGTGCCAGGCACTGTGCTAGGAGCTGGGATATAGAGTGAATGATACATAGACCCTGCATCAAGAGATCAGTCTGGAGACTTGGTGGTGGCAGGAGACAGCAGTGGGAAGAAAAAAGTAAATGGACTGTTACCCAGAGAGTTATGGAAATTCAAAAACAGGGTACCTAACCCAGCAAAGGGATCCAGGGCTATCTACCTAGCCAAAACCTACACGATGGACATACAGCAGGGAATTCAGGGATTTGTGAAAGCCTCTACTTTTTAATAACACCTATTATGCATTGAGCACTTAACTGTGTACCAAACCTGTGTTAAGCCCTTTACATATGTCACCTCATTTAGTCCTCTGAGGGAAGTACTATCGTCTTTGCCATTTTAAAGATGAGATTACCAAGTCACAGAGGATAAGTGACTTCCCCAAGGTCAGAAGTAGCAAGCGCAGGAGCAAGGATTTATATCCAGGTCTGTCTAACTCCAGAGCCCATACCTATAATTCTTATATTATCTCTAAAGATTGGCTTGAAGGATTTTTTTGGAGAAGTTATGAGTATGAGTATAGCCCAGATTTCTTTCCCTATTACTTTTAGAATATTTTAAAAATCTTATACTTTCTATTGGTTTAAATCATGGACTCCCTAATTATGACCTCAGGAAGAGTCTACCATTACTCTTTCTTAATAACTAAATTACTAGATTTTTCTTCACTGAAAAGGGATTCCATTCTTTCACGCAGTTTTGGTTACCTAGTGCTGCTCTATAAGAAATATCACAAATAGGATGGCTTGAGCAAACAGGAGTTTATTCTCTTACAATTATGGAGGCTTTAAGTCTGAGTTCAGAGTGCCAGGCTCTAGGGGCTGAGTGAAAGCCCCTCGACCTTGGGCTTCAGCTCTGCCTCTTGCTCCTGGCCCACTGAAGCTGGAGGCTTTTCTTCACTCAGGCAGCTGCTAGCTGCTGACACTGACAAACCCAAGGTTGACAAGTGAAAAGGCACAGTCCCAATATTACCAAACCACATGGCAGGCCATTGATTCAAGTCC